TAGTCTATTTCTGTGCTTAAGGCAGAACGACCGTATAAGAATTCGGAGGGAGCTTCTGCTATGGCTTCCTTCTTGAGGATTTCCAGGATCTCAGGACTTACTGCACAGTGTCTTTTGGCTATGTTGGCTAATACCGGGTCTAGACGCTCCTGCAGGAAAGTGTCTACTAATGCTTCAATTTCTGCAAGCTTTTCCTTTGGGATATTATTGAGGGAGTGGTTTATGCGGGAAGAGAGCACTTCTAAGAGAGTGCTTCTCGGGTCTTTTGGTTTAGAGTTTACTGTGTCTATCAGCATATAGTATTTCAGATCGTATAGAGATGTGTTGATGTGTTGGTATTTTCCCATGCCCTCTAAAAACTTCTGAGCATTTATGCTTTGAAAATATCATTTATTGAAAAATAGCATTTATCACACAGTTTGTCAAAAATAAAAGTAAATATTTGGCACTAGTTTTTGTACAGTGTGTGCTAAGTGGCAGGACTTACTGCACATCGCGCAACAAAGAGCATATAGTATACAGTGTGCAACAAACAGCAGGCAAACAACAGAATAGTACCTTCTACGCACTGTGCATTAAATAAGACAGATTCCACACAGTTTTTACACCGTGTGTACTAAGCAGCAGAACTTGCTGCACACCATCCAGCAAATGCACTTAATGTCACTGTACAACAACTGGCAGATGACAGCAGCGCAGCACTTTATACACAGTATGCAGCAATTGGCAGGCAGGCAATTAATACTACTTGTGGTGAATTCCTGGAATCCCCACACAATTGGAGATGCCCAAGATCATGGTGGGCTTTGATAATATGGATGCGAATAAATTGAGATCACTATTGACTGCGAAAAGTATATAAGTATAAATATACGAGCAATTTCAATTTCAAAAATAAGAAGAAGATAGAATTAAGTCAATCGGTAGTTGAAAGCTGGGACTCTCCAAAGGACAATAAATCTTTACTGGAACTAGCAACAGACTCCGATTCAAGTCTGCCCGGATTTATGTCATTATCCTCTCATATGATGAATTATCCTCTCTTATGTCATTGTTCTCTCATATGGTGAATTCTTTTATGACAGATGAATTATTCTCTTATGTTGGACTATACTTTCTTATGTCATTATTCTCTCATCTGTGAATACTTTCTTATGCTGGATTATTCTCTTATGTCATTATTCTCCCATCTGTGAATACTTTCTTATGATGCTATGGTGAATACTTTCTTATGATGTTATGTTGGATTCTTTTATGCCATTATTCTCTCATATGATGATGCGATGAATGCTCTTATGCTGTATTTAGTGGGAAAGTGTGGTTTTATGGGGCAGAGAATCTCTTGACTTTATGCGTGTGATTTACCATTCTCCCGTGCACTCTCTTTTTGAGCGTAAATCCAGTGGAAATACCAACAGACAGGCTGAAATCAGAGGTATAGGGAGCTCTATCCCCGTACTGCACAAACACTCCCATCCCAAGAGATTTCCTGCATATTTTCCCTTCGAATATTCGCTCAGGAGGAAGTTAAGAAAAAAAGGGAGGACTCCTCCCAGCTGCAAATGCCATCACAGCAGCTCCGAGACAACTAAGCATCTCTTTAGTGTGTGGATAAGATTGTATATGCGTAAGTCAGGCAGTTCCTGCTTACAAACAGTTGGAGAATCTTTCCGTTCATTTCAGAAGAAGCTTTTCGGACTGCCATCTCCCCAGAAGCACTGACCTCCGCACGGGAGACTTCCCATATGCTTTTTTATGCGTCATATCCCTCTGAGAGTATGCAATGGCAGGCACCCACCATCCGATTCGCACTTTCATTCCGTCATCATCACTCATTCCATCATCTCATTCCATCATCATCACTCGGTCTTTCTCTCTTCTTCATTCTCTTCATTCCTTCATTCTCTCATTCTTCATTCTCTCACTCGGTCATTCTCTCTTCATCACTCATCACTCGGTCTTTCTCTCTTCATTCTCTCACTCGATCACATGCTCTTCTTCAGGTGGGTGCTGCCTTGTAAGTTTCTCCTGTATTTATAGACACTTTCCTTCCAAATTTGGATGCAATTAGCAGGATCCAGCACATTGTTCCTGAACGGGGAAATTGCGGGCTGGACTCGCCCATTTCCCGGAAGGGGTAAATTACTCTGGAAATTAAATGCAATTACGCCTGAACAGCATTTATCCCGTGCGTTTATTTATGGGCAGCCTTTTTCAGCGTGAGCTTTCCCTGGATAAGTCCGTACTTAACGATAATAACGCAGCAGCAGAGAAGCCCAATGCTTGAGGACGCGTGGAAAAGTGCCCTCAGATCCGAGAAGTACCGAATAATAGCCAAGCTCAGGAGAGAAGAAAGCAAAATAGACACTCCATTGTAGCACGCACTGTACATTGTCTGTGCCTGTGCCTTATTATTCGCATCTGCGATTTCGTCCATAATATTTACTGCACTGAAGACGATGCAGGAGGAGCTGACTCCCTTCAGGACTTCCCCCAGGGTAGCAAATACGATAGTATACGTCCTCGGGAGGAAAGCGTAGTTGAAGTCCCTCAGAGTAGCTGCAAGAAGTGATCCGAGGAGAAGCCAGTGGTATCCAAGGTACTTCAAAAGGTGCTTGCTGTAGTAGAGAATTGCCATTTCGCTTATTGTTCGGATGCACATGACGTACGTGACTTTTGAGAAGTGCAGGTTAAACTCCATCGCCAAGTACGTGACGAGATAGTTCGAGGATATTCCCCGGGTAGTTCCTATCGAGACAATCACAAAAAGAAGAAAAAGAAAGTCTCCATTTTTCAGGAGGTTCTGCTGGGGTTTTACACTCTTCTCAGCACTTCCTGCCTTCTTTTGGAGGGTTTTCTGGCTGCTCTCCTGGGGCTCTGTCTTCTCCTGCAGGGAAAAGTGGACGATCGCAACGAAAACCCCCAATCCCACGGCCATTACGCCTATAAGAACGAAGAAAAAGAGGGCGGATCCTGCCCTTTCCTCTTCACTTTCTTTTTTTCCGTTGAGTACCGTATAGATGTACAGTATAGCAATTCCAGCGATAGCATGGCCAATTGAAGCCCACATTCTTATGCGCGTGAATATCTCCTTTCTCTCGTACTTCTCCATCTCCCTGTACTCCTTCCGGAGGTGATGCATTACCAGGACGTCGTAGAACGGGAAAACAGGGGATATGCAGACTGTGTATATGGAGAAGATCAGGCATATGAGGGGGACACTGTTATATGCTGATGTATACACCCGCAGGAAGAAGAATGTGCTGTATACGGCTGCTGCCATCAGAGCGAAGGAGATAGTTGCCTTCTTTGTCCACTGTTTTTTCTCAACGGATCTTCCTATGAATGTTCCTGCTACGTAGAAGAAGGACATGCACCCGAAGTATCCGAAGTCTGAAATGGGGAAGTTTAGCTGGCGGTTGAACAGGAACAGAGCGTACGTCTGCGAGTATATCGCAATATTCAGCACCAGATATCCGAGTTTAAAGTCCCAGTGCGTATTCGGGGAGATCTCCTTTGATATCAGCGAAAGAAGGGGGAGATTCTCCCAGGAAAAGACTGACCCGCACAGGAAGTATCCGGACATGTAGTGCTGCGCAAATACAGCAATTCTTGGGGCCAGGATGCTTTTAGTCGCTCTGGAGAGCATTATCCAGAGGGAGGAGAGAGCAAAGAGGGATCCGTGCATCTTCTGGAGGAATGACCAGGGGCGAGGCATGCTCAGAGCAATGGCACCGAATAAAAGAAGGGATCCAAAAGCGTAGTTGCAAGGGAGAAAGAGGCTTTGTATAAGCTTGTTATCAATGCTTTTTGCATCCTTGAGAAATGCCTTTCTAATGGAGTATATGGCTCCTATGGGAAATAGTCCCATGCGCGCCATCTTCTTCGTGTCTTTGACCATTTGAATGAGAAATAATATTTTTTCATTTGGATAAATAGAAAACCCCCGGGGTAGACTTTTCTGAAAATTTGCCTTTTTCCTGCAGAATTTTCAGGCTTACACAGGATAATACGGGATAATACGGGAGAATGTGCAAGGATAATAAACTCGAGTTATTATAGAGTTTATTATAGAATTATTGTAGAGTTTATTGTATAATTTGGGGTATTAATTAGTTATTATAGAGTTTATTATAGAATTATTGTATAGTTTATTATAGAATTATTCCGGTTATTGTATAATCTGAGCTCTTGATGAGTTTACTGTATAACTTGAGTTCTCGTGCGGTTTATTATAGAATTATTGTAGAGTTACTGTATAATCTGAGTTCTCGTACGGGTTATTATAGAGTTTACTGTATAATCTGGTTTATTGTAGAGTTTATTGCATAGTTGCTGTCTTGCTGAATCGATGAAAAATCCCGTAGAATCTATCCTGATTTATTGCAGTCTCGTATCACAGTAACTCTGGGGGAATAGTGCTTTTCTGCTGTGCTATCAGCATCTGGTATCGAGTCTTTTTCTCCCCCACGGCCTTTGCAAGCTTTTTCACTTTCGCCTCCTCCAGGCACATCCTCCGCTGGAAGTCCTCGCTTATCCCGGAGTCCTTCACTATGAGGATGTCGACAATGATCTTGTTCCTCCTGTACGTTTCGTAGTACGCATCTGTCACTTCGATCAGGTCGACCATGTGCTGGGATATAACGAGATCTCTCAGCGTGTTTATGTCGCTAGAACTTCCTGCCTCGTGAGTGTACGGGTACACTCTCCCGGGAGTAGAATACTTCAGGGGCATAAAATTTAGCTCAACGACTTTTTTGCACTCGTCAATGAATATAGAGTCGAACAGCTGCACATTATTCGCCATGAGCGCAGAGAAAACAGACTCTTTGCATGCCTTATACGCCTCGTCTGTGAGCATATCCGCCTTGCTCAGGATGGGAATGACGTTCACAATCTTCCCCATCTCTCGCATGCACTTTACGTCGATATCTCGTAATATATCAGTTGGGCTGATCAAATACAGGCACACGTGAACTCTCTTGTCGTTTCTCAGGAGGCCGCTCTCCTCCTCCAAGTGATACTCTTCGTACCTGTTCAGCACCAGATTCTTTGCTAGTGCCCAGTCGCACGAGCTGTGCAGTGAGTCCCCAATTCCCCCGACTTCATACACCGTCAAGTGCATGGATATGGAGTTCTCCCAGAGAGTGTAGGACGTAGCGGAGATGGAAGTGCTGTTTTTCTCGAGGGAATGCTCTGAAGCATCCATCAGCTCTGCGAGGGGGTTGTTAGTGCATGCCATATCGCACACTTCGTGAAAAATTCCGTCGTTTTTTTCAGGTTTGCACTCTCCGATCCCGAAGAGAGCGCGTACTAAAGAGGTTTTTCCAGCGTATCCTTCGCCCATTACCATTACGTTGTAGTATATGGGTTCGCTTTCTATCGACTGCATAATCTGCCTGGGGAGAGTATTCAGCATATTCCCTGTCTTGTCCGTGTTCATGCGTATTTGTACGTATATGCTCCCAGCGTAAATATACCCAGCGTAGTCAGGCACAACAAACAGAACGAAACCATGCGCTTTCTCTTTGTTTTTCTGAGGAGGTGTGTGAGCTTTCTGCTGGCTCTTTTCAGGGTTACTTCTGCCTCGTTTATCTTTCCCTGGATTCTTGAGATAGTCTCTCCCTGCGCGCAAACTATGCTGTTTATTCCCACGAGCTCAACTGTGGACTCCTGCAAAGACTTCACAGTTCCCTGCATGATCACGTCCTGCTCGGAAATTGTCTCTTTCTCTGCGTATGTCTGCATTTCCTTGTTTCCTTCTGTTGTGTTTTATGCGGAAATGCAATACGCCCTCTAATTGGCGGAATACTTGAGCTGTAGGCGCCTGGACGTGTTTTATCTGCATCCTCTGAAAGTGGCTTCATCCGTGTCTCCAGCTGTTTCTGTTGTTCGCCTGTACTAAACACTCTCCTAAGCACTCTCTTATTCAACACTTTCTCATGTACTAAAAGCACTCTTATTCAATGCTATCTTAAGCACATTCTTATTCAACGCTTTCTTATGAACTAAACACTCTCTTATTCAACACTCTCTTGCCCACTAAACACTCTCTTATTCAATACACTCTTATTCAGCACATTCTTATTCAATACTAAACACTTTCTTGTGACAACACTTTCTTATTCAACACTTTCTTACCCACTAAACACTTTCTTATTCAACACATTCTCTTATTCAACACACTCTTAAACACTTTCTTACCCACTAAACACTTTCTTATGAACTAAACACTCTCTTATTCAACACTTTCTTATGAACTAAGCACATTCTTATGCTAATTTCTTTTCTTTTTGTGGATGTGCATTTTCTCTGTGTTTTTCGCGCATGGACTGGTCGCAGACGTACAGAGAAGTCACAGTAAGACTCCCCCTCGACAAGAAAAGCCGCGATAGAGTGCGAGTCCGTGCAGGGAGTTCTCTCCTGATCACGAAGAACGAGGAAGTCCTGGTGGATCGTGAGCTCTTCCTGGGCGTGGACGGAGATGAAACCGTCTGGACGCTGGACGAGGGCTGCCTCGAAGTCTCGATGCGGAAGAGGGAAATGGGCCCGTGGAAAAGCCTCTTCAAAGGGGACCCAGAGGAAGAGCAGGATCTTCCCGTGGAAAACGTATCCCTCTCAGACCTCGGGGAAGAAGCGCAGTCCATCCTGGAAAAAGCAATACGCGACGGAAACATGCAGGCATAACCCAAAAATAAACTTCCCAGGAACTTTCTCTGCAAAAATCACGGCTCAGGCTGAAAACTGCAATATAAGCTCTTTATTTCTCCAGGGCATCATCCAAGGCGCAGGCCCTTCTCAAGTTCCCTGCGTCCTTTTCTGTGGCCAGGCGTATTCTGTACAGCAGCCCTGTCTCTGGGTCCACGAAAATGAAGACTTTTTTGCTTTTCTCGGAGTGAATTGACGTCATTCTAACGGGGACTGTCAGAAGATGCTTTTTTTTTCCGTCAAAAACTGTTATTGTCTTCTCGCTGTTTCTGTAGTGGACAAGGACCCTGCGAATGCCAACCTCCTCAAACTTCGAGAGTTTTCTCACAGCCACTTCGCAGGGGAGGTCAAACAGAATCTCCTGGGCCTTTTTTCCCTCCTTCTCCTGGGGCTTCAGAGTCTTCTTATCCTCTGCCTCTGAAGCCTGGGGGAGACTTTCCTCTGCCTTCCCGCGATCACTCTTCGCGTACGCACTCTTCCTGCGGGTTCCCCCGTGGTCTGCAGTGCCTTTATCTTCCTCCCCTCCTGCAGGTGCCTTCTCAGGGCTAGTTTCATTCTTCAGAGCGTGCTTTAAATCAGTCTTTTCATGCTTAGAGTCAGCTTTTTCATGTTTAGAATCAGTCTTTTCATGTTTAGAATCAGCTTTTTCATGCTTTAAATCAGCCTTTTCATGTTTAGAATCGGCTTTTTCATGCTTTAAATCAGCTTTTTCATGTTTAGAGTCAGCTTTTTCATGTTTAGAGTTTGTCTTTGCTTCTTTCTGAATGTTTTCTCCCAGGACACTTTCATTATTTACTCCCCTCTGAATACTTTCATTCTTTGCTTCCCCCTGAATACTTTCAGTCTTTGCTTCAGTCTGAATACTTTCATTCTTTTTTTTTTCCTGAACTCTGCCTATTTCATTCTTTTCTTCCCTCTGAATACTTTCATTATTTGCTTCATTCTTTACTCCTCCCGGGATACTTTCTGTCTTTTCTTCAGTCTTTACTCCTCCCGGGATACTTTCATTATTTTCTTCCCTCTGAATATTTGCCTCTTCCGTGGGCGTGCTGCTTCCCTTGTTCAGGCCGGAGCGAAGTATCGCGGAGATGTCGAGCTTCCTGGGGGGAGCACTCGCGGACAGACCCCCAGGGAAATTTCCCCCCAGGCCCTCCCCAGGGCCCTGCAAACCCCCTATCTCCTGCAGGTACTTCCCATACTGTGCGATTATTTCGCTGAAATTGTACGCGTTATCGAGGGCGTACGCCTTCCTCACCGCCTCGATAAAGGACTCGTTCAGGCCCTTCATCTTCTGGTCCCTCGTGTATACGGGCCCAGACTGCAGGAGACTCGTCCTGGGAGTGCTCGGTCTCTCGTGCCTCCTTCTCGCACGAAGTATCTTCTTGCTGGAGTCAAACTGAATCTCCTCCGTGGGCTCTGAAGGCAGATCATCATCCGCCGTCATCCGGCACTTCTGCGCTATCCGTCTCTTGCTTACAGCCATAAAAAAGAAAATATTCAATTATTTATTCTTTCTCGGAGTCTCTCTATCTCCTGCCTGTACGGCGTATCCTCCACCTGCAGGCCCGAGAGATCGAACTTTCCCCCCGTGACTTCAAGGATCTTCAAGCACCACAATTTGATCTTCTCGTTCCTTGTGGAGGAGAGAAGACTCTGCACTAAACTCACCTCCTCCGCATCGAGGGCGTACGCTGTCAGGGCCCTGAGGGCGTTCCACTTCACTCGTATATTCTTTCTCCCAAGTAATTCCGTGAGTTTCCCCTTCTGCGAGGGAATTCTGATGTGGAAGAGGATCCGGCAGAGCTGGATGCGGGTTCCGTCCGTGGAGAGAAAAAGCCTCTCCAGGAACGCAGATGCCTCCTGCACGTCCAGAAGCATCTCCTTCTCTCCGTCTTTTTCCTCGCTGAATCTCTCCCTCGGGCGTATTACAATTCCTGCTTCTGCAGATGTTATTGCATACTCTACAACTGCTTCTCCCTGGGCGTATGTGATATCTACACTTTCGTGTGCGATCAGAGCCTGAAATAGCACATTTACGTCGACAACTTCTGGGACTTTAGCAGCCATCCAGGCCCCTCCGACGTGCTCCTGCGGGGGCTGGATCCTCTGAATTCTCTCCACGAGGACTCCCTTCAGCGCGGGGGGAAGTCCAAGGAGGGCATTCCGCGGGATGTGCTGGGAGATTGTGAGTATAGGGATCTCTGGGATCTTCGCTAGAATCCCAACTAGAGATGCAATAAACCCTGGAGACTCCTGGGCTGCCATCTCCGGAAAGACTTTCGAGACAAAAAAGTCTATGTACCGCATCTGGAAGCTTTTCATCATCTCCGAGAGAAAAATCTGTTTATTTTCTCGGGCGAAGCTCTCCCTGTACAGGGCAAAAATAATGCGGACATTTCCCTCTCCCGCAGAAAAGTCTGCACTTTCAGCTCCCTCTGCAGCCTTTTTCAGGATCTGCAGAGTCTCTTCCTCGGAGAATTTGGAGCGCATTTTCTCCTCGCTGCAGATCCTCCGCATGATCTGCAGGAGGAAGGGACTCCCTCCCCGGAGAAACTCCTGGACGATCGGCGCGATCTCTTGATTTTGTGCGTTTCTGTAGTTGGCGAGGATGAAGTATATGCTGGAGTGACTCTCTGCATCGTCCACGCACTGCAAAAGTGCCTGGAAGACTCTCTCCACGGAGTTTCTCAGCGTATCCGCGTACGAGGAGTACGCGCTGGAGACTCCCCCCGCGGAAAGCATCGACAGAAACCGCTGGGACCTCCCAAGGATCGCTGAAAGCCTTCTCAGGCCTTTCCTGGGGTTCCTCAGAAAGTCCTCGCAGAGTGCATTCCAGTTTCTCCGTATGTCTTCCACCTCCATGGAAATGAGCAAATATTTTACATTTATCCGTCAAATATGCGTTTATTCTAGCTTTCCCTGCCTTACTATCTTTACATACGTATTCCATATTAAGGAAGAGACTCCTATGAATGTTACGCGCATCTCCAAGGGAACAAACAAGAAGTTGATCATTTGAAGGAAGGGCCATATCTTGTAGCTGTCGAAGAGAATTTTGAAGTAGTCTCGGAGGACTCTGCGGACTGTAAACCCAGAGCCGTCTACGAGGCTGGCAATAAGTATGAACATAAAGTTTCCAACTGGAGCCCACACAAACTGGTCAAAGAGCATTTTGTACAGAGCTGTCTTTACGCGCAGTGCGCTGAATCCCTTTAGGTGCTCGGCTGCCTGTCCTCCGTACGCCTCCATCTGAGTGTACATTAAAAAGCACATGTTTCCCGTTAAAAACCCGTACAGCCCCATTAAAAAGGGCGTTTGGATGTAGGAAGTGACTCTCCCCGTTACGATCTGGCCGAGTATGTCTGAAAGCGCCAAAATAATGGCAGTTGATCCGCCCTGTACGAACAGGTCTCTGGGCGTTGTTCTTCTTGTCTTCCCTCTTCCCTCTATTATTCCTCTTTTGTTTATTTTCATAAAGCTTCAAAAAATCCTCTTCTTTTACAGTACTGCATGCGAGACTGCTTCACAGTGACCTTTACGCCAACTGTATTTTCTACCCCAATTCTTGGCACGTACCTGTTTTCCACCGGGTATAGCAAGCCAACGCTAAAACTCTTCTCTTTTTTTGTGATCCTTCTGCACTGCCCATCATTTCGCATAGTAAACAACAATAAGAAAAGCGCAATAAACCTGCCCGGGCATCCTGAGCGAGTTCCTCCCGAATTCTCATCTTTGCGTCACATCCACGGGGAGTAGTACCTGTCGCAGACTCGGGAAGGGTAGAATCCTGCCCCACTCCTGAGTCCAGCACTGTATCCATTCGCCATATTCGCCATCATTCGCGAAGACATTGCAGCTCCTGCCATGTACGAGCCCTGACATAGTCCGTGCATTGGCGCCCTTATAGCTGCAGTCTCTTTCCCGTGCATGTACGCAGCATTGAAGCCCGACATTCCCCCGTAGGGCACTCCGTACGCGGTAGTTCCTACGTCGTACATCTGCATGAGTGCTTTCCTGGACATGTAGTCGGGAACTGCGTATATTCCGTGCATTGCGAGTGAGGGATTTACGTGGTCTCGAATCCTCCATGCGTCTATATCCATCGACCCGTATACGGCGGATACACACAGAAAAATAGCCCAAAATATCTTCATGCAGGAGAGGGCTCTTTTTGTCTAAATGCGTTTGCGTGTGATTTCTGTGTTGTATCCTGCAAATAGGACGGCGAAATGCAGGCTGGAATTGTGTGCCAGATGTGCATTTTCCTCGGTGTTTTCAGGGCGAAACAGGGGCTTCTATTGGTCACTTCCTGCACGGGATCAGCAACTCAAAACGCCCACGTCACGGGTGCGGAAGTGCAGGATAATCGCACGCTTGAAACGAGTGAAAATTCGGAAAAGCCTTTCTTGCACAAACAACTTTATTTATCTGCCCGAATCATTATGTCTAGCCACTTAAATGCCAGCATAAACCCTTTATTGGGCGTGGAAATGGAGTCTGTTACCACGCTGCAGTAATTCGCTGAAACGCGTCTTCCGTTCTCTCCGTCTCCCGTTACAATTCCCAGAATGCTGCACAGGTAGTTCAGGTAGGCTTCATCCAGGGCAGGAACGGGTGCTGACGGGTTCTTCATCTCCCACACCTTCTGCCACATATCTGTTTTGTTGAAGAGAACTGCAATTGGAAGAGACTTTCTTCCGGACTTCTCCATGGCATAGACAAGCTGTGCGAATGTTTCGGCTACAATGGGGTACCTATCCATGTCTGTTATATCTACCATAAATATTATGCCCTGAGACTGTATGAAGTACGTACTCCACCCAAGCCTAGCTGTTTCGTGCCCTCCCAGGTCGTTTATTGTCACTTTCATGTGCCCTATTTGGAGGGTCTCCTCCCGCACGGACTGCGTTGGGGCAACTGTGTGGATTGTGTCCGTTTTAAGACGCAACAAAAGTGTGGTTTTGCCTGCATTGTCGATTCCCAAAAAGAGTACGTTTGTGTCCTTTCCAAAGAGTCTTTCGAATATTGCCTTTGGGCCTCTTTCTATTAAGTCCAACAGGATCTGCTTACCTTTCTCATAATACTCCATTTTAAACAAAGAAAATTCAAAGCAATTTTAAAGAAAAAACACGGGATGCTCGCGCCCATAAACACGCCGAAAATTAAATCCCGGGAAGAACGATCTTTCTGCGCTTTCGCGGGTTGCTTTATTTTCCGCTGCTTCTTGCCATGGGAAACCACCCGCGGCTGCTCCCCAGCGGATTTGTCAAGATCTCAAACTCTTCCTCCACCTCCGTCAGCATGAAATAGAATGTATCCAGGCACTTTAAGTATCGCACTATTATGTCGTAGTACACGGGGGAACTGTACTCTGGCTTGCCCGCGTCTATTTTTATATATATGATCTTCCCTTCTTTTATCTGGCTGCTGAAGAGGCCTTTGAAGTGGACGTACTCCTTGTTCTTGAACGTAAATATCCACCCTACTTCTGACATCTCCCACGATATGAGGAACTCGCTCAGCCCTCTTTTTATGCTTATTAGAGAAAATGGAGATATAAAGTACCCGTTCACGCGTATGTACCCGTCCAGCTTGAAATATTTCATCAGGTCATTCCGGTTGAGCTGTGTTATTATCGTGTTTAGCTCGTTGAAAAGCCCTTTATTCTCAATGGACTCCATAGATTAGATAAGAAAAATAACAATTACAGAATAGCCTCATTTAATTTTTATAAAAGTTAATTGGTTTTTGAAAAGTCATGATGTTTGGTCGCTCTTCTCGTGCTGAGGGAGAAACCCCGCCCCCTACGAGCCCGTCTCTCCTCGCCCGCACAGTGAAGGAAATACGCGAAAATTTCCCGACCTGGAAAAAAGGCAAATCTCTCTCTTTTCCCAGGGCGGAAACAGTTCGTGTTTGCGGGGAGTCTCCACAAATCCTGGACGAAAACTTCTCTTTGTTTATCTTTCTCGTTCCCTTTGCTGCGGGAGTTCTCTCGTACAAGCTGTGCCAGCGCCTTATGGCAAGGTCTAAAAATTTCGGGGTTGACTACCACAAGAAAGATGCAAAGCACCTCCCAGAGTCTATAGGGCTTTCCTCCGGGGTGTCCTTCGTCCTCTGCATATTCCTTCTTTCTGGGTCCTTCCAGGCGCACAAAGAGAGTCTTCTCATTTTTTCAAATACTATTATTCTGAATATTCTGCTGGGATACGTTGACGATATACTCGATCTTACATGGTCTTGCAAGATGGTTTTTCCTGTTGTTGCAACTCTTCCCTTGCTCTTCTCCTACTCTGGAAGCACGTGTATTTGCATCCCTTTTTACGGTGTGCTAAACTTGGGGTGGGCTTTCTACGTCTGCCTTGTCGCTCTCAGCGTGTACTTTACGAATGCGATAAACATTCTCAGCGGAATAAACGGAGTGGAGTGTGGGCAAACACTCGTTATCAGTGGGATGATGGTCGTTGATCGCCTGCTCTTTTTTAGCGATAAGGGTCTTCTGTCCATTCTTCTGTGTGCCTCCCTCTTCTTCAGCACGTTCAGCCTCTTCCTGTGGAATAAGTACCCTGCGAAGTGCTTTGTTGGTGATACGTTCTGCTACTTTGCAGGGAGTGCTCTCCTGTGCATTGGACTCTTCGGGGGCTTTGTAAAGACGCTTTTTCTCTTCTTCTCCCTGCAACTGCTTAACTTCCTGATGAGTCTTCCGCAGATTGCCAAAATAATCCCATGCCCAAGGCACAGAATGCCAGCGTCTGACTTCACAGGTGCAGCTCTATTGAAGCCTTCGATCGTGGAAGTCTCTAAAAAGCACGTGCAAAGCAGCTATATGTGCCGCCTTGTCATTAGCCTATTCACTAAGTGTAGGCTGATCTCGTGCACAGAAAACAAGGAGAGTATATGCCTAAGCAACTTCACAGTGCTAAATGCAATACTCGTTTGGACAGGGCCAATTTCAGAGCCAGCCCTTTTTAACGTCTATATGGCTTTGCAATGTGCTGTTTGTTTGTGTGTGATATTGGCTAAGTTCGCAATTACAGCACTTTCTGTGTGTTAAAATGTCGATATTATTGCAATACGCAAAAACAGTTTCTGGCTAGTTTTTAGTCCGAGCTATTCAGGAGTATATCTGCATCTGGAAATAAACTGTACGCTTTCACGTGCTCTCGCCCTTTCGTATACACTATCTGTTTCCAGGCCTTGTTTATGGGAATTCTCTGGGAGTAAGTGTCTTCCGCGCGGGCGTTTTCCACATGCACGGACTCAGAATATTAAAGGAGAAGTCCTGCGAGAAGTCCTTCTGGGTTGGAATGCAGCCTGAAAAGACTGACTGTTCGCATGAAGAGGCATGCTGACTTTGCTGATAGGACTCATATTTGGCTGCTGTCATGTTTTCATGGCGTTTTTATGTCGTTTTTATGTCGTTTTTATGGCATGTTTTTATGGCATGTTCACATTGTGTTCACGCCATGAGGTTAGTCTGTGATTGGTTTCCATGCTGTGTTTTCGATTGGCTTGGAAAAGCATAAATACTGGCGGCATGCAAGCACAAACACATGGACAGATACAACGCAAACTCAAACTCAAACTCGGGAAACAACTTCCCTGCAGGAAAAGACACCGACAGCTCCTTCAACTTCAACTTCACAGGAATGGCGAGCAGTGGAAGCGGAGGAATTAAAATGGTAAGCGAGAAAAAGTATACTGTAAACGTGCCTGCGGGCATAACCAAGCAGGATATCAAGGTAACCCAAAAAGACGGCTCCCTTATGCTTGAGTACAAAAAAGAGAAGAATTTGGAGGAAAAAAACCTTTCGGAAAAGAGCAGCTCGCAAGGCAGCTACATGACCAGCATAAGAAGCGGCCTGTGCGTGAAGCAGATGACTCTAAAAGACGGGGTCCTGCAAATAGATCTGGGAGAGGGAAGCACTGAGAGTGCCGTTCCCGAAATAGAACAGAATTAAAGTGCATCTTCTAGCAATACTTTTTTCGAAATGCGCTGCGGATATTCTCTGAGTGTTTGAGTTCTGCTCTCGGGGAGTATTTCTTCTTTTTGTGAAATTATTTTGCAGATGAAAGTGTACGAGTGCACTGTGAATGGGGAGAGGGGGATTATTGGGGTTGACAGAAAATACCTGAAAATATGCACTCGCCACGAGATTTTGGGGATGGAGGACATATCTGAAATATCCCAGGATAAGGCGGATCTTGCAGTTCTTCTCCACAGTAAAAGAACGCTAAATGTGCACGGGTTAGACGATGCATGTGCAGCTACGCTCTTGGAGACGGGCAAAAGCAAAAGAATGATCAGCAAGGAGGAAATATCCGACTCCATAAAGAGAAACATCCAGCTGCAAAAGTCGTACAGGAGCATAAGCCCGGCAGAGCACAGAGTCTTCTACCGGATCTTTGGAGAGTCTCTCCTGAAGGGGGCACGCCCTAACGAGCCGCTGAAGATAGAGCAGGCTTCCAGCAGCGGAAAGGCGAAGTTTCTCATCTCCAACAGAACAGCGATGCAGGCGTACTTTAACATGGACATTCCTTTTGGCGTGTTCGTAAAGTGTTTCTACAGCGGATATCTAACAACAGGCTCCCCTGAGAACGACGTTGATTTGGAGATATTTCGGATCCTGAAACGGCCAATAAACCCGATGGAGCGAGTGAATGTGCAGTCTATGGTGCAGCAGGACATCGCAGAGACGCCTGCAGAGCCTATCAAGAAAAAGCCGGCGCCTGCAAAGAAGGAGCACCTGATAAACCCGTGTCTTGTAAACCCGCTAGTCTCAAGAGAGTCAGATAAGAGCAGCGAATGCTCCAGAGGAAAGCTTGGAAGGCCGATTCTATTCCCTCCGAAAATCAGGATTTCAAGCATTCACCCGATAAGAAGAGTCGGCATCCCCGTTGAAATACTCCGCAGAATGAAGGAAATATCGAAGCTTGTCTTCAAGAATAAAGCCTCCTCGGAAGATTTGGAGGAAATATCCAATAATATGCAGCAGTCATTAAAGGAGGAAATCAGAAGAAAGCTGCCAATAGAGGAGGCTGATGCTGTAATTTTGGCAATTTCCCGAATATCCCCCTCCCGGTTTCTAAATGCACTCAAAGCCAATCACCGTAAATAAAGCGAAAATTTTGTCCCCTAGAATCTATGCGCTTGAAGGAAGTGAAAGTCTCTATGCTGGTTGTGTTTGTAAGCACAGCAACTGCGATTCGCATGGCTGTGGTCAGAAAGTCTGTTCCCTGCGGTGGAATGCACATTTTCATTCCCACCGCGGTTTCCTTGCTCCACGTTATGCCGTTTCTTCTGTCTTTCTTTGTCTCTATTCCAGTGAAGTTCCGGAGGCTTCTAAACTCGGCCATCTATCTGCTCTCTTCGGCTGCTTACATTGCAATGTTTTCTCTTTTTGCGTATACGTCTGTGCTTGTAAGCTTCAATACTGTGTTCATTCTTGCGTGCATGTGTACGTCTTTGCTGGAGTCATTCCTGTGCTTGTGCAAGTGGCACATACGGAGCAAGAAAAGACGGGAGTTCCGAAACAGGCCCCTTGTCAGGCGAAAGTACAGCACCGGGGAAATAAAAATGCCCCCCATAAGCGTAAGCACAGAGACCAAGCATCTGCGTGCAAAAGCAGATTTCGTCTATAATGGGGCTGTTTACATACGGAAGGGTGAAACTGTTGAGCTTCTTAAGCCAATAGGATCGTACTATTCTGTCCGCACTTCTGTGGGAACTGAATATATTGTTCCAAAAGAAGTTTTCTTTTGAGAATAGAAAATGAAGCATATTCTGAACGACAAGACAAATGCGCAAAGCAGAGCTCGGGGCAGGGAAAGCCCAGGGAAATCTTTTGAAAAGAGGCGAAACGAGCAAGTTTCTGTAAAAGCCCAAGAAAGCACTGTGCAGAATGCAGGTGCCAGTTGTATAGAGCATCCACAGAACCCGCATGAAGATATCGAGCATGCATATGCCTATGAAGAGTATTATGCCCAGAACGTAGAAGACATTTTCAAAGAAACTGACTTGTCGATCGACAGCATAGTTAATGCTCGTTTCTCTATTGATTGATGAGATGCTGTGAGTGCATATAAATAAAGAAGTTTATGCTGTAGCAAGGCATAGTTGTTTGCTTGAGTACGGTTCTGTGACGTATGTTCTCAGCTTATGTGTACACGGTTTATTTTGATGCAAAACTGC